ACTCCTCCTCGCACCACCCCCCAACACACTAAACCCAACGATCACGCCCCACCACACAACACCTCACCGCATCACATGCACCACACCATACCTCACTCCATCACACCACACCACACTGAATCACACCAAACCGCACCACCTCACACCACACCCCAGCACACTAAACCCAGCGATCACAACCCACCTCAACCGTCCCTTTTTCTAATCACGTCTCAGTGATAGCCGGTCACTCATATCCCTTATTCATTACCCACTCTAACAAAAAATTGTTCGTATAGGAAGGAAAACAGATCACTAAAACAAGTGGATTTTCAGGAAAAGGTGAGTTCCATTGCAGATTTGAACAGACTGATAGATATTGAGACTTAAACTTACTGAGTGAAACGGTTAAGGAGAGGCACTACTGCTCGCTCAATTAACATTAAAATTTGGATGAATAGAGATGGTGGAGCTAGGTTAATATACCCAGTTAATATACCGTAGCCACCGGTAAGGTTGGTCCGGTTTCAACCGAACCAACTTTCGGGGGAGAATTTTTTTTTTAATTAAAAAAAGAAAAAAAGAGAAAAATCATTGAAAAAAAGATTTTAAAAAATGATTAGAAGAAAAATGAAAGTGATATCGATGTCATTAATTCGCAACATTCAAATGAATACATCCTAAAGAACGAGTCAAGAAAAAATACTTTTGCAACATTCAAAATCTGAGTACTTTAGGATGGGTTTAAAAAGATATTAAGTGTAGGAGGCTTTCACTATACTTTCCCTTGCTCCTCTCCACCTACCCCCTACCCCTACCCCCCTACCCCTCTCCTGAAAACCGGACCAATCAAAAGTTTTTGGCTACGGCCCTGATGCCGGGTCCCATCCTTGGCTCAGTTCCCCATTGGAAAAAGTACAGATACGCGCTAGAATTTACCCAGAAAAAGGAATTATCTTGCCAACGTTGAACTATGTTCACATCCTTACCAAAGTGTCCTTGTGTTTCACCTCAGGTTTTAAATTTAACGAAGAAGAAGTCAACAAAGTCAATGAGGCCAAGAAGATACAAAAATGGGTGAGGACATGTTGATGTTTCTTAGCAGGGCTTAAAATAACGGCCGGAACTAGGAATTGTCCGGTCAATTCTTTGCCTTACTGGTCATTTAACCGCCACCCGGTTAGCTCAGTTGGTAAGAGCGTCGGTCTGTTGTGCGGAAGGTCGTGGTTCAAGCCTCGGCTTGACCAACACTCAGGGTCTTAAAATAACTGGGGAGAAGGTGCTGCCTTTGTAATTACATCTGCAAATGGTTAGACCTTCACGTGGCTCGGATGATCACGTGAATGGCGGTCTCGTCCCTAATTAACTAGAGACGTTAATAGAGGACCACAAGTTTATCAGTTGAATTACTGTCCAGCTTGTTATCCTCTATAAACAAAGTTAACTATTATTATTATTTTGACCATTAACGTTTAGTTCGAAATGCGATAAGACTAAGCTAAAACTAAATTTGCCTGTGATCATGAATGGCGACTTATCAGCCGTTATTATAAGTCCAGCTTGATGATACCCTTTGGTCATGATACTGTATATCTCTTGACCTTGGACGTAATGTTTTCCAATTTCAAACCATCTGCCATCCTCTTGAGAATAAGATTCTTTGTTTGAGTTGTATCAATATTCTTGTTTTTTCTCGTGCTCATGTGCAACTGTTAAACAAAGAAATAATACTCTAGGGAATGACACGTGGTCTAAAAGCCTAAGGTAATCTTAAGAAAATCATAAGAAACTATTGACAAAACAAAGATGACGAAAAATATATAGAGTTTTTAGTGTTTGTCTATCTTTTATGGGTGAAGGTGATCGACGTGCCGTCTTAATTCATTTTTCGTTGTATTCTCTCGTGGTAAGCTGTTAATGTCAATCGACGTCAGTACTGTAACAAAGCTTTATTTGCTCCCTGGACGCCCCATAATGCCTTGCGATCCAAGATGGCCGCCATATCGTCAAAGAAGTCTATTGTTATCGTGGCGATAACGATGGCTATTGCATGTCATTTATAAGGAATCTTAATGATGACACGTGTTTCGAATCTTATCCAGGCTCTAGGACTACAAGACTCAGATGATGAGGCAGAAGCTGCAGAGAAAGAAGTAGAAGAGGTAACAATTATATCGTTTATTGTAAAGTATTTATACTTGGACTTCAGTAGATTAGCCTAGTGATGGTCTTTGAGGAAAGGGAGAGGATATCGCTTAATGAAACGAGGGCCTAGTGCAAAAGAAATAGGGGCAATAAGACAGGGGATTGGTATTGTGCAGGGAGACAGAGGGGAATGGTCAGGAGACGGGAAGGGAGCAGCAGTTATCAAGAGTGTATGGTCATAGAGTCAGTGAAACTGAAGCGCTTGAGGTTTGACAAGGGGGTTGGGTAGTGGGGAACAAGAACAGAGGAAAACAGTGGACAGTGGTTAATTGTAAGTCAGGCGAAGGGGAACGCCAGTTAGGAGTACGGGGTCAAAGGGTCAGTAAAAAGCGTTTGAGGAGAAAGGTAATAAAACAAGGACGCCACCCTATGTCGTTAATTTCTACCTTTCAATTGCTATAATTCCTTTCTTTACAGATTGATAAGCGACTTGACGCTGTATTCAGCAAGAAACCTCACATCAAGAAGGTGGTGCCTGCTGTTAGTGAAGCAGTGATTAAAGGAGAACAGAAAGGTAAAACAGATTCTAAAAAAAATACTCTGTTATTTTATAACAATAAGAAGGTTCACTTTTGTCCGAGCCAAAGAAGATAGGCGATAGGTCATTCCATGCAACACTGACCTACGGGGGATGTCTAAGATACGAAAATATATGAGACTAGTATGAGAAAAAGGGAAGCACCTTTGCCTCGCCCCTGCTACCTCACCCCTTCCGAAGGATCGAACTTATGACTACACCAGTTTAACAACAAGAACAACAATTTATTTTTATTACCCTAAGATACATAATTTACAATTTATATGTATATATAAGTCCGACTGCAAAAAGGCAAATGTTACTCAATAACTATGAAGCTAATCGTGCTGAGCAGCAAAACTAGGATATTTAATTACATATATATTATGTATATTCATTCATTCATCCATCCATCCATCCATCCATCCATCCAT